TCCAGAGTTTTCGCTTTTCTCCTACACTTGCACTGGTGCAGCGGCGGTGCTCTCAGACACACCAGCGATGCTCTCAGACACACCAGCGATGCTCTCAGACACACCAGCGGCGCTCTCGGACACGCCGGCGGCGCTCTCGGACACACCGGCGGTGCTCTCGGACACACCGGCGATGCTCTAGACACACCGGCGGTGCTCTCAGACACACCGGCGGTGCTCTCGGACACACCGGCGATGCTCTCGGACACGCCGGCGGCGCTCTCGGACACGCCGGCGGTGCTCTCGGACACACCAGCGATGCTCTTGGACCTGGTGTCTGCACTTGCTGCCTGTTCCCTCTGCTTGAAACATTGTCACCAGAGATCGGCCCGGCTCACCTGCTTAGAATTTTTGCTAAGATTTTTGCCTTCTTAATGTAGCCTATCCTGCGTATATCAACTAAAATTATAACTACACTCTCTGCCCCCCGCCTCACTGCTCTATTTTTCTCCATACTACTTATCCCCAGCCTGACACTCTTACATTTCACTTGTTTGTTTCTGTCTACCTCCCGGGTCATGGAGGTAGTATCCAGGAGGACAGGGGTTTTTTGTTTTATCTGTTCACTGTTACATTCCCACTTCCTAAAATAGTAGGTACCGAATATCTGTCGTGTAAATGAATATGTGATGAAACTCCAATTCTTTGGCCACCTGATGCAAAGAGCCAGCTCCTTGGAAAAGACCCTGAGGCCAGGAAAGATTGAAGGCAAAGGGAGAGGGGATGAGAGAGGATGAGATGGCTGGGCGGCATCACTGACTCAGTGGACATGACTTTGAGCAAGCTCCAGGAGACAGGAGAGGACCGAGGAGCCTGGTGTGCCGCAGTCCGTGGGGGTGCAGAGAGTCAGGCATGACTTACTGACTGAACAATAACAGAAACATGTGAATATCAAATGGATAAATGTGTGACAAACCTATAGATATGATCATGGATTAAGAAAATTATCCTTGTGGATTGTGTTTTTTTTAAACTGCTTTCTTCTAACTCAGGTTTTAATGTTGAACTAGTCAGACGCTGTCTCAGTTCTTAAACTGTGCGTAGAAAAGTTAATGAGCTTTCAGCTGTAGTGTACCCAAGCATCCTCCTACACAGAACTCAAGTTTTAGCCACAAAAATGTTTTCTCCCTTTAAGTAATCTGTGTTGACTACAAACTCGTGCTAAGGTAACTTGTGTGTGACATTAAATGTGACTGCTATGATTAATAGGAAGAAGTCCCTCTAGTCCAAATGTGGCACGTAAACAAAGACTTGGGAAATAGGACAGAAACAAGTCCACTTCAGAAACAGATTGTCTCTATTACATGTTCCAGTTAATTCTTTTCCGAATAGCTTAGAAACTGTGGACAGATCTTAGCAACGTCAAGCTAAAGCAGACAAGAGAAAGCTGCTCATTCGTGTCCGACTCCTCTCGACCCCATGCCTGCAGCCCGTCAGGCTCCTCTGTCCGCGAGGTTTCTCCAGGGAGAACACTGGGGTGGCTGGCCACTGCCTTCTCCACAGGATCTTCCCAGACCAGGCACTGAACTCCCTGTCTCCTGCATCGTCAGGGGGATTCTTTACCACGGAGCCCCCGAGGAAGCTCCAGACGAGGGAAACCAGGAAGGATGCTAATTTACTTACAGTTCTGGTTGTGTCCTTCACATGCCTTTAAATCTTATTTTTATATATCATGGAATGTAATTAGAAGCTAATTAGAGAGAAGACTGCAAGCCTAATATAATGGAAAAGAAATGGAAGAGTGAAATAGATGTCTCCTGTGAACCAAACACTATGACAACAAGAGCTTCACCAAAATAAGTAACACTTTGGCCCGTGGCCTCCTGGCTGACTCAAGGCCATAAATCAGACCACCAAACTACTTATAGTCTTAATATTAAAAGACTTTTCCCCCACTTAATTTTTGTGGAGGAAAATCCCCAAACCTGTCAATTTGCTGGTTAGATCTTAAAATACCAACATACATTTTAGCGAATATCTAATTGCATCCGAGAATGATAAAATTTACTGTCATAGAAGTTTGAAAACAAACTCTACTACTCATATTTAATTTCTATTCTTCTATTTCCAGAACTTGGAGAGAGCCCCCAAAGACTAACAGATGAGAGCGACCTTAAAAATATCACTTCTAAGAGTTACAGGCAAATGCAGGGGCAGCCCTGTCAAATCACCTTTCGAAGCAAGTAAAACAAAAAAAAAAATGCTTCTCAGCAAAACTGTTTACAATTCCCCACCCTTCAGTCATTGGTACAGAAGTTGTTCCACATCTTCACATAAAAGGCAGTTCTTCCCTTCATTTGTAATTGGAAAAATAGTATGGTCCCTGCCGTGTGACCTGGGCAATGGACTTATGCTATCAGACCTGTAAAATAGTGGTAATAATAGTACCAGTCTTGTAAGAATTTCTGTGAAGACTAATAAAGGTGATGCAGGTAAAGTCCTCAACATGCCATCTAGAACACCTACCTGCTCGATAAAGGTTCCTGAGTTTCTTCTGTCTTCTATTAAGCATATACAGTGAGTAGTGTCAGACACTCAGTCATGCCCAACTTTTTGCAATCCCATGGACTGCAGTCCACTAGGCTCCTTTGTCCATGGAATTTTCCAGGCAAGGATACTGGAGTGGGTTGCCATTTCCTTCTCCAGGGACAATGGGCAGAATCACAGATTAATTTTCAAAGGAAGAAAAAAAAATCCTTCTCCCTGTCCTTTTCCACATAAATTAGAAAACGTTACTTACTCTAGGCCAAGAGTTAGAAATTCGCTTTTGCTGTCAGCGAGGAGCATAGCTTTGGACTTGAATTTATGTAAAATTACATGGCCAGATCCATGCATCCTGACAACCTTCCCATCACTTCATCCACTGTCTCTGGAAGAGATCTCTAGCTGTCTCTTATACCTCCCTCGCCCCTCCCCGGCCAGAGGCCTGAGCCTCTGTCCGCCAGCACGCCCCAGCTCCGTGGGAAGGTGGCACTGCAGAGTCTCTGTCCCTCGCTCCCCCGGGTTCCAGGGAAGCCCACTGCGTTTTCAGCCTTCCCAAGACTCTCAGCCCTCGGTAGAGAGAGTGAGGGAAGGCAGCCGTGGTCCTAAAGCACACGTGCTGGGAAACGGCAGGGAACGAGCTCCCTGGAAGTGCGGGCTGAGACAGGCTGGCACCCGGACCTCTGCTGTGGTGCCTGCCCTGGACAGACATCTCCAACCACTGAACACAAAGGAACCGTAAGGGACGAAAAACAACGGTGTGCATGTGGCTGGTGCCTGCTAAGTTGCTTCAGCTGTGTCCGACTCTTTGTGACCCCGTGGACTGCAGCCCGCCAGGCTCCTCTGTCCATGGGGTTCTCCAGGCAAGAATGCTGGAGTGGGTTGCCATGCCCTCCTCCAGGGGATCTTCCTGACCCAGGGGTCAAACCTGAGTCTCTTATGTCTCTTGCATTGGCAGGTGGGTTCTTTACCACTAGAATCACCTGGAAAGCATGTGGATCTACAATTGGGGCAAATTACAAAGGAGATACAAAGAGACCAAAAAAGCCTGATGGCCATTCTGAAGAGCAGAAAACAAAAGCAGGGTGTCCGGAGCAAAACAGGGTACTGGGCATGCCCCCTGCACACAGCACCACCAAAGGGGAGATGGACCCCCTAAGCCATGCTGCCAGCCTGTCCCCGGGCACACCCCCTGCCCTCACTCCATCTAAGGAACCAGCTTGCCCCCTCCTCCAGCAAGCAGGCGGGCAAGGGAACCTACTGTTTGTTTTCCTCGCTTCCCCTGGTGTAGCCGGGACCCCAATTAAGCCTTGCCTGAATTTGATGTCTGGCCTCTGCTCACTTCCTGTTGATCAAGGAGGCCAAGAACCCTGGTCTTTGACAGTTTTAAGATCAGGATAAACACTTAAGCCAATGAGAAAGTAGGATGGTTGCCTCTTGAGGGTCTGTGTTTCCACTGAAAAAATCAAATTGTATTCGTGTGTGTGTGTACACGTGCACGCATATGTCTGGACACACACAGGTACATGTAACTGCTCGGACGTGCCCTTCAGTGGACAGCGTAGCAAGTTCATCTTCCTGGGCCCCCATCACAGAGCCCCGCCCCCATCACAGACTATTTATGTAAAATTACATGGCCAGATCCATGCATCCTGACAACCTTCCCATCACTTCATCCACTGTCTCTGGAAGAGATCTCTAGCTGTCTCTTATGGCACGTTCTCCATCCTATTTTCTACCCTAGCCAGATGTGTCTCTTCAGTCCTTCACAGAGGCAAGCAACAGTCCCACCGCAAGGTACTTCTAGATTAGCCTGAACTCTAATTCAGACATTCTAATGTCTACTTCACTCTAGTAACCTTAGAACTGCCACAGTATAGGATGATTATGGGTGAAATGTAAAGAATGCAAGCTATCATGATGAACTGTATAGGCCAGCTCCCCCCTTTCCATGACTGCTGGCATTTCTGGTGAGTAATAAATACTCTGCTGGAAACAAAAGCATATGAAAACAAGCCAAGGGAAGGAAGCAATAGCAAAGTTACACCCTCATCTTCGTAAGGAAAACACGGTCACGGGCGGCCCCAGCTCAGTTTCACGCACCCCCTTGAGATGGGGATGAAGTTTTCTCTGTTCCACAAAGGCACAGTGCCTCTACAGTTCTTTTTTTTTTTTTCTCTACCTCTTTCCCAGCTTCTCTCTGATAAGTTGCATTACAATCAATCTTTGTTTTAGTTTTCTCATCAGTCTCTCTCCTACCCTTTGAGAAGAGTGAAGAGGCAGAGGAACCCTGGAAGCCACGGCTTCTATCCCTTAAACAACATCAATGAGGAAAATCCCAGGCGTCCCCGTTACATGATGGTACCATAAAACAATGACTTAGAGAACCCAGGGGTCTTTAAACAGGCTGGGCACCCTAGGACCCAGTAAGGGCTGATAGGCATCTGAGGCTGTACCACTGGAACAAGCCCCCTCCTCACCATACCATCTTGCCATCCCACAGGAAGTCATTAGCTGCCGGGGATCACGGGCAGAAGGAAGCAGGAGGGCTTCTCCGGTCCACAGCACAGTGCTGCTAAGCTGGCCCCTCCGGCCGGCCCGGCCTCTCGGGCAGCCTGACCCCCGGGGCTGGCATCCGGCCTGCGGGCTGTCCTGGACCCAGGGACTTGCTCGCGAGTCCTCAGACAGCCTCCTCTCCACCCGGAGTCCAAGCAGACACAGCGGCGGAGGCTCCGGCTGCCCAGCTCCCTCAGGCCGAGGGCTGACCAACCGCCCTCCAACAGATTCCAACTGCCGTGGCCTGGGGACAAGCTCCTGCCCTCCGGGGCCGCTGACATCACAGTCCAAGCCTGGAACCTTCACGTCCCTGCACCTCCCTCGCCCCTCCCCGGCCAGAGGCCTGAGCCTCTGTCCGCCAGCACGCCCCAGCTCCGTGGGAAGGTGGCACTGCAGAGTCTCTGTCCCTGGCTCCCCCGGGTTCCAGGGAAGCCCACTGCATTTTCAGGGCTCCGGGCTGGGGGCCGGTGGCCAAGAGGGCTGAGCCTTCCCAAGACGCTCAGCCCTCGGTAGAGAGAGTGAGGGAAGGCAGCCGTGGTTCTAAAGGACACGTGCTGGGAAATGGCAGGGAACGAGCTCTCTGGAAGTGCGGGCTGAGACAGGCTGGCACCCGGACCTCTGCTGCGGTGCCTGCCCCGGACAGACATCTCCAACCACTGAACACAAAGGAACCGTAAGGGACGAAAAACAACGGCGTGCATGTGGCTGGTGCCTGCTAAGTTGCTTCAGTTGTGTCCGACTCTTTGTGACCCCATGGACTGCAGCCCGCCAGGCTCCTCTGTCCATGGGATTCTCCAGGCAAGAATACTGGAGTGGGTTGCCATGCCCTCCTCCA